GCAAGAAGGAAAGAAGATTCAACGAGTGGCTTCAGCCAGCAGAGCAGGTTGAATGACCGGACTGGGTCCGAAGTGGAATGGCCACATCTTCTGGATCAGTCACTGGGACCGGATCACCAGCACGTGAAAGTTGCCTCCACTATTTGCTCGTGTCTTGGTCTATGGGACCATCACAAATTCACAAAGTTACAGTCGCAAAATTCGCAAATGAACGGATGCCCTTTCTTGCAAGGACTCTTTGAGGCATGTGTTGCTTTCCTGTTCTCTCTCTCTCTTTAAGATCTGTTTATGGCTAAAGACTGCATGGACGAACCTCGAGGTGTCGATGCTCAAAAGACAAGAACAGAGACCGAAAAGTTTGACACGAAAATTTTGAACCGTTGAAGTTAATTAGCTAGGAATCAATTTGATTCAAAAGAGTCATGATCCTGATGAACAATATAAACACAATACTTAGTTGAATTAGAAGTCGATTACTATAGATGTCTCAGAAGTAGAGTCGAGTAGAGCATACCTCCGCCAAGGTACAAGCCGTAAAGAGAGCACCGACAGGCCGGCACTTCCTCCAAACTCTTCCCTCACTATCTATCTCACTATCTTCTATTTACAAATAGTAGATCCTAACATGGAGGGCTATTCTTCTCTTGTTTGCTATCTTGATCTCAACTCTTGTCGATTAATGATGCCCTTCTGGAGGAGGTATGGGGGGCCTTTTATAGGGGGCACCAGGCATCGTGTGGGCCCATGAATCCGTGGCAACGCATCATCTCGTCCCTTGATATGAACTGACCTTGATCTACGGCGAAGATGGACTCCTAATGTCGGTGGAGAACCGACCCTAACCGACCCTTGAAGCGGGGACTGAGTGGTGGGCCCCCTGTGCCGGCCGGCCTGTCCCAGTGATAGGTGGCCCCCACTCTGTAGCGGCGGGTCCTTGACTCCGTATTGAGTTGACTTTTTGAGGTTTCGCGAATCGAATCGTTCGTTTACATCGGTTGGCTTGTTTGGAGTATATGACGGTGGTCCCAGGAGCTGTTTTCTGCTTAAATGCTCCTGCAATCATAAATTCACCAACACTTGTGGAAATAGTTAGTTTAAACTCCTAGACCTGTGTTGGTGACCATGTTTATGCAGTTTTTTATGTTATATTGACGGGAAAAAAAATGAGTGTTAACGACCATCAACAAGTTCCCTATACTTAGGTTTTTACTCGTCCTCGATAAAAGGTTAGTTGTATTACTCAGGACATAACCTTGCGACAAGATATCAACATAAAACCATTCCCAGTTATACTTGCTCTGCAGGATTCAAAGTGTCCATCAGAAAACTTTGGATGGTTGAAAAACGGAACAGCTGAAACAGATCACGCGAGCGGCACGTCATGGCTCGCCAGAGATGACCCTGTAAATAAAACCGAAAAGTACAAACCACAGCTCTCACAGGATCTATTACACGATACTAATTTGCGACGAAGGAACGACAAGCATATTCAGCACCAACGCAGTGCAGCGAGGCTGTTGTACCTCGCTTGTGCCCAGCTATCGGCTTCGTCCAGCAGCTTCAACGAGACCGTGCTCGGCGATGACGACAGGAAGCTCTGAACCTTCATTTCCGGAAGGCAGAGTAGCGACAGTCGTTCAGCGACAACGACGTTTGTAACAACAGAGCGACAGGCACTCGAATTTAGGCCCCTAACATTCCAACATAGAAGCTGTTGATCCATCAACACGATGATGCGGCTGGGGCTCTCTTTTTGAGGCGGACAGGGGCTCGGCGAAGGTCTCTTGAAACCTCCTCACCGTGGATTGATCATTCGCCGGTGGCGGCACTGTCTTGCCGAGCTACATGAGCATGACGTTTGTCGCCTGAATTTCCGGCTTGGCTGCCCTGGGCTTGCCACTGCCAGCAAGCCTTACACTACGGCGGGGGACAACGCTGTAGTCCGGCACACGGGAGACCCGCAGTCTAGGCGGGGTGGATAGCAGCGGCGCATCCATCGGCATCGAGATGGAGCTGATGAAATCTCCGACGGAATCAGGTCCTGGAGAGGTGGCTGGCCCAACCCAAATACAGGCATCGATGCTGCTCGGGCAGCCTGCTCTGGGCCTACGTCTTTGTTGCGGCGACGGCGCTGTCTCAACATTCATAGGCCCAGCGACCCGGGGGCAGCTGGCTGCTACGTGGGCCGGCCCAGTTCCCTCCGCGTCTGCAGCTTGGGCTGTCAACGCCGGAGGAGGAACAACTTCCATAGGGCCCGCGTCGACAGGTGGGCGTTGACTGCCCCACCTCACCCCACTCCATGGTGCACGAATCCGCTGGACCCCAGGAAGCAGCAACAGGTCTGCCGCATCGACTGGGTCCATGGACCTGCAGCCATGCACGCCCACGAGCAGGTTGACGTCGTCATACAAGAGCTCCCCAATGAAACCCTGAAATCCGCTGCCATCGTCACGTCGACCAACGATGGAGACGTCATCAACGCATGCCGTAGCGTGGTGGTCCACCTTTCCCAAGCGAGCAAGAGGTATGGCCTCCTCTATCAACATGCATGGGATCAGAATCCCTTCCCAAATCTGCATTGGCCAGACCGACATGTGACGTGACAGGCCAATGGGTCAAAGCAGCCCGTCAGCACTTTTCTGCATGCTTTCGGCACCTCGGCTGCTGCAACAGCGCGGAACCCGTTACGCGCGTCAGCTGGGCCCCGCACGTCGCCTCAGGCTGCCGACGACCACGGCAGCACGGGTCTGAAAGGTGGGCCCACTCTCCCTGCCCAGCGATGGCGCGCCATCGCCGCTGCCGGCCAACCTAACCGACCTTGGCCCCCCGGACGAGCGACCACGGTGAACGTCGAATCCAGGGTGGTAGCCATTGTAGTTGTTGTCGCCTGAGTCGTCGTCCTCGTCAGCTCCACCACCGCCGTGGCCATCGTCATCGGAAGATGTGGGCGGTTTGGTCCAGTCTTGGTACTCGACGATGCGCAGACGCACCAGGTATCGCAGTCCTGGTAGGTCGGCCTAGACGACCTCATGTGCACGGAGGTAGAGCGGTCCTTCGAGGACCTGTACCCTCGGCTCAGGAATTGTCATGATCTTCTCGTCGGGGATTAGCCGCGGGTGGATGCACCATGCCGCAACAAAAGAACTCACAGTCGACATCGGCCGGAGTTACTTCCGGCGGGGCAACCTCGACGCGGGCGCAAGAGGACCCCAGAATGGTCTGCGCCACCGCCACGCTCCGAGCATGCAGAGGGAAGCGTGTCATCCCGATGAGCACCCAATACCTGAACGACTCCGCAGAGGCCAAGGAGGTCCTCCGCCAGGGGCGCCAGATCAACGTGAACGGAGGATGAGCCGCCGGAGTGCCCAAGACCAACTCCATATATATCCTCACGGCGTGTGAACCTGACGACGAAGTCTTCCGGATCATGGCGGCGAACCGTGCAGTGGCCGCACCTTCCCCCACGCCGAACTGGTCGAGCAGGAATTGGCGGACCATGGTGAAGGACAACCTCTCACCCCGGCCAGAACCAGGCGAGGAGGTCCCGTAGAAGGGGGACGCATCGGGGTTGAGCCCCTGGGATGAAAGGGAGCTGGCCTGAGACTCGGCGGCAGCGTCGACCTCGTCCACGTACCTCGTCCGCCTAGGAACGACGTGAAGGAGACTCTCTCTCCATGGCCGGCCACGGGCTAGATCTACGAGCCTAGAGCTAGGGGGGTGACCGGTGGACGCCGCGTCCAGGGTAGATAGCAGCGGAGGCAGGGGGTAGAGGTGGGCGCCGGGACTGGGGTGGCCGACGGCGAGTTGGTGGGTGGACGCCGAGGCCAGAGTGGCCACCGGCGGTTGGCGGGGTGGGAGGCCGACCTGTTACAAACTTACACGTGTGGAGCTACACGATTATATATACATGCTCGTATGCGTCGAGCCAGAGTCCGAACACTTCACTAGCTATGCGCGAGGGTCTCGCTCCGCGCCGCGGTGGATGGATGAACTAGCTGGCAGCCTGCCAGTCTGGCACTGCCCGGGCCGCTGGCCTGAATTAGATACCAAATCGATCATATTATTGAATTGAATATATTGACCGCATTTAAAAATCTTGGGAAACTCATGATGTAAAATAAACATTTTTACTCCCTCCATCCTAAAAAGAATGCAATTATATCTCAAAATAAATTACTATAAAAAATATATTTCATAACCAATCTAATGATGTTTATTTGCTAAAAAATATTAGTATTTTCTGTATAAAAGTAGTCAAAATTGAAATTGTTTGATTTATCTAGAAATGAGAATTGCAACCTCTTTTGGACGGAGCAGTAACAAAGTGCAAACTTCTGCTAAAAAAAAGGAAATGTCTAGTCAACAACCGGTTGTTTTAACCCATCCCATCAACCAAATTTTTCTCATACACTTATACTGTCTTATAACTATATTTACACTGCCTTATTACTATATTTACAATGATTTCTTCAGTGTAATTTATTGGAAAAGAGTGATGTAATTTGAGAATACACAAATATATGCCAAATTTTTCGAAAAGATTTACAAATTATTTCTATGAATTCCAGACATCAGAGAAATATATATATCAAACTATTCACAAATTCTTCAGAAATTAAAAAAAAACAAAATCCACACAAGGAGGGGTGAGAGAGGAGAGATTGTCACAGGGTGTTCCGTGCTCGTATTCGTATGTCAGGCAAGGACACAGCCACCAGCATGATTGTTTGCTCGACGCTGAAGCCGAGCGGACGTACGCACACACGCGCCAGCATAATCGCAGGCGGGGGGAGGCCGACGCTTCCGCATCGCATGGCCCAAAAAACGGTTGATAACAACCGGCAAATCAACCGGTTGATCGTTAGCCTTTATAGGAAAAAAAAAATCCTCGGGCAACGTCTATACTAAGCCCGCTCTGCCCGCCGCATCGCATTGGCGTTCGCATCGCGCCCATACTAAACCCTAACTCTGCTGCCGGCGATCTGCCCTGCTGCGGCGGCATGGATGAAGCGGAGAACGGCATCAGGAAGCGCACCTCGACGCGCGCGTCCGGGAACGGCGCGAGGAAGCTATCCCCTTCTCCGACGAGGTCGTCCGCCCCGGAGCAGAGGAAGCCCTCTGCCTCGCCTCCGCCGCCGCGCGTCCCCAGGTGGCTGATCCTCGACCGCATCGTCCACCGCAGCAGCAGGAGGCGTTGCGGGGTCGTCGAAGACGACGCCACGGCCTCGGCGCTCGCCCACGTCCGCGCCTCCCTCAGGATCGCCATTCGCCGACCCGCCCGCGGTCTCCCGTCTCTACCTCCACTGGACAGGCAGGCCCGCGATCGATTTCGCGGAGCCCGCCGCCGTCACCGCTCACCGCAACTCCATTCTCTTCCGGATGCGTGTCCCCTTCGAGGATCCTATGTGGTGGAGCAGCATTTGCTCCTTCCCCGTCGACTACTTCGTCTACTCCAGCTCGTCGTCGTCACCGCCGACCCTGACTCTGCTTCCCCCTTGCTTCCACGGCGGCCACACCGACCCCGAGTCTGATAAGTACTTCGAACCATACCGCATCCAGCAGCAGCGCACCATGTTGGACAAAGAGATGGGCATCCTGTGCCACGGTGACCAAGGCGAGTTCACGGTGGCGGATCTCACGCAGCGTTTCCGCAGGGAGGTCGACCTCTGCCTGCTGCACCACCCGTCTCCTGCCTCCGCCATTCCGATTCAGTGGAGCGTTCAGAGGCTGCAGATCCCTACGGACATGAAGATCAACCTCTCCTCGTGGAGGAATGACGTCGTCGTGCCCATTGGTAGACGCTTGTGCTGGGTCGACTACTACCAGGGCACGCTGCTCATAGATGTCCTCACTGACAGCAACAGCCAGCCAGATCATCAGCAGTTGCTCCAGTTCATCCCACTGCCTTCTCAGGATTTGAAGTATCGCCGCCCGTACAGGGATGCTGGTGTACCTGACCCGTTTCGGTGTGTCAGTGTCACTGACGCTGGCATCATTAAGCTCGTCTGCATTCTTACCAAACAGCCTCCTCCTTATCCTTTCACCATAACAACATGGATTTTGGATGATGTCAACCGAGGTGAATGGAGGAAAGATGTCGACACCACAATGGGCGCTAAGGAGTTCTTCGGTCTTTACGGCACTGGCCAGAGTTGCCTTCCACTTGTGCAGCCAAGTTTTCCTATGGTTAGCTTAGTTGATCCAGATGTCATCTGTTTCCTGCTGAATGATGAAGACCGTAGCCTTTTCTGGACGATTGCGGTCAACATGAGGAACAAGAAGCTGCAGTCAAGTGCCCTCTATATCAGTGAAGAGGAAGAACAAGATGGATATCCCCCTAAACGGGGCCGCAGGAACTATTTCTTTGGTCATTACTTCATCCCCAGCAAGTTCTCCTCTTACTTGAATGAGGATGCCACCACAACGTAATATTATATCTCTTGTCACTACATCTTGCTTGTAGCACCGCCGTAGGAAGTATTGTTATGTTTAACAGCCTCTAGTTTACATTTAAAAACATGAGTAGAACATGATGGTGTAGGTGGGCAGGTATTTAGCATACGCAATTTCTGTGCTTAGTTAAATAAGTAGCTAATCTGCTACCAGTGATTTGACATGTTGAGATATGAACAGATTAATCTGCTAAATCTCATGGTCAAACTATAACGTACCTAATCTTATCATGGTTTAAAGCCGATGCAACACTATGCAGTAAGCTAGCCAACAGAAGTGGTGTTCTAGCTGTTCAGACTTTGTTTAACCATGACACCAATTTATGCTCACATTTTTTTTGTTTGGTCAGTAGACCTATACTAGTTTGGGATCCTAACCAAAACCAGAGAAACCCACATAAAAACAATGTGCGGCCCTTGCCCAGCCAGCAAGATACAAACCAACTCTACCTGCCCAAACCAAATGCATGTTGTATGATGTTGACATTTTTATTTTCTTATGAACAAAACCACCTTGGTTTCCTACTGTTTCTGATAGAAAAATACATTTCTCTCTTCTTTAAGCTCGTTCATTTGCATACTTACCATCACATAAAGAAGAAACCTGATAGGTAAATCAATTTACTACAGTAGAGACTAGGGAAGTTATGCCCATAATTGAAATTCTACCACAGTTATTGGCAATCAGGGAACAGGAATGCATAGGGACAGAAGAAACCTTGTCAGAATCCTTAGTGACCATGACTTGGAAAAAAAACATTTGTCATACTTTTAAGGTAGTAAGGTGATTGTTGCACCCATTCCAATTTATAGAAGAATGACGTGTAGGCAGCTTCCCCAACATTGAGCCACCATGTTCAGTTGGTGAAGCCTGGAATTCTTTGTAGGATGGTAGTTGAAAGTATTGGGATTAAGGAATCGAAGCTTCTCACTAATGTTAAAGTAATATATATAGTTGAATATTAATAAGGCCATAGTTGATCTTTTTAATTGCAATGTTTTTCTACAAATAAACATGCATATGTGTTTGCATGATTTGTTAAGGCGGTGTATGGTTTGAGGAACCAGCTCATCTTGGATGAGCTGGTACATCATGAGACCATCTCTCGAATTTAGGGGAGTGACACCATTCCTCTTGCTTGTACTAAATATTAGCTTGTGAGGAATAAGTTGGTGATGGATCAACTTAATCCATTCCACTAACCAAACAAAAAGGTGAGGAGTGAGAAGACTAGGGACAACAACCTTCTCAAACCAAAAACCCATTAGTTGTACATGTAAAAATCGATGACACTTATTAGATGATGGGATGGAGAAAGGAGCTAACTAGTTTTATGTTTTCTACTCTTACTTATTCTCATGTGGGGATCATTGATTGCCTTGTGACTACTTTCTTTCGTGCAGTCGAGAACTCAGTGAAATGATGCAGAAGGCAAAACAACGAATAGTGATGCAGAAGAATGGACTAGAAGGACAATCGAAGGAGTGATTTATTGGATGAAAGCCTTTAGAAGATTGTCCATTAGGCTTTGTTTGGAAAGCATGAGGGCAGAGTGGAGCATGGCTCAATCCCTGCCACACAGGGCACCACACCCACACCAGGAACAAAGCCACATTGTGTGGTTTAATAAAGTGCATTTGGCAATTGTAGGGTCGAGATGATGGGCTAGAGGGGGGGTGAATAGTCATTTCTAAAACTAATTGCACCGGCTAACCGAAACAAATGCGGAACTAAAACTATTCGGTCTAGCCAAGACTACACCCCTCTATCTAAGTTCTCAAGCACCTTACAAAGATTCTAATTGAACAATTATGGTGCCGGGGTAGCTAGAGCTCACCTAAACAATTTTAGTTTGCAAAGTCACACAAACCTAAGCAACTAGTACTCAAGCAATCGAGGAACTCCTGCACATAATAGTAATGCAAAGCGCACAAAGCCTAAGCAAACTATTACTACTCAACTAGCAAGGCTACACAAGCCAAACTAGAGAGCTCAACAACTACTTAGCAACACAAACTAAGCAATGTAACTAGCAAGGCTACACAAGCCAACTATTTACTCAAGAGAACTATTGCTTTGCTACACAAGCAAACTATCTACACAAGGGCAACAACACAAGCACAATATATATGAATGAGTAAATACAAGCTTGTGTTAGGAGTAAGCAAACCAACAGGATGAACAAGTTGATACGGTGATTTTTATCCTGAGGTTCGATGGCTTCCCAAGCACCTACTACCCATTGAGGTAAGCTCAAGGTTGCCACCGGTCCTTTTGCTAGTGGTGACCCTCAAGTCACACTATCCCACGTGGAGTGCTCACCATGAGCTCTACCACTCGACCCGACCAAACCACTTGACGCTTTTCACACCTCGCTCTACCAGAGTTGCTCTCCGCGTGCCAAGCACAACACCCCTCACAAGCCTTCTCTAGAGCCATGCACAAGCTTCTTGCAGGCTTCACAACGGAGACCACACCACCAAGCCATTGAAAGGTCCTAAATGGTTAGAGGGGGTGAATAGCCTAATAAAATTTTCTACAACAACACTAAGACAAGGTGGTTAGATAACTAAATGGCGTAATGCAAGTTTTGCGCTAGCACTACAACAAAGTTGCAAGCCACCTATCCACAAGTCTAGTAAGTCATAAACTCTAAGCACTCAATGGCTAAGTAATTACTAAACTTCTAGAGAACTAGCAAGAGAGCCAAATACAACTAATAAGGTAAACTATCACTACACAAGATATGTATCAATGTAAATACAATAGAGTGATAGAGAGGGTTATACCGCCGAGGCAAGTGATCAAGCAATATACACAATGAAATCCTCGAAACAATGATGACACAAGATTTTTATCCGAGGTCCACTTGCTTGCCGGCAAGCTACGTCCTCGTTGTAGCGATACACCCACTTGGAGGTTCACGCGCTAATAGGCTTTACACGCCTAACCCGCAATCGGATGGTGCACAACCAACACAAGATGGGGATCCACAAGCTACGAGCAGTCCACAAAAGATGCCTTTCGTGATCTCCCACGGGGAAGGCTCAAGAACCCCTCACAATCACCATGATCGGAGCCGGAGACAAACACCACCCTCTGCTCAATGATCCTCGCTGCTCCAAGCCATCTAGGTGTGGCAAACACCAAGAGTCACAAGAGAAATCCACAGCGAAACACAATCACCAAGTGCCTCTAGATGCAATCACTCAAGCAATGCACTTGGATGCTCTCCAATCTCACCAAATGATGAATCAATCAAGCAAGGTGAGTGAGAGATAAATGGCTAGGCTCACAAGGTTGTATTGTCAATGAAAATGGCCAAGAGTGTGAGCCCAAGCCGGCCAACATCTATTTATAGAGTCCCCTCAAAGAGACTAGCCATTATGCCCTATCCATGGGCTGTCTGCGAGGCGACCGGACACACTGATCGGACGCACCGAGTCTGGTCAAGCAGCATCCAGTCCACTCGATGCTGCCACGCGTCCATCATGTTTGACCTTGGCTATTGATCACCAACGGCTACCTGTTGTGTATGCACACGTTAATGTTGCACCAAATGCACCTCTCAACTAACCGGACGCGCCAGGCCGTGGCGTCCGTACGTTTCCAGAGAGCTCCTAGAGGGTTACAATTGCGACCGGACGCGTCCGGTCCACACTAACCAGACACGCCACAGCGTCCGATCGCTCTCCAGCTACTCAAAGCTCTGACACATCATAGTGACCAGATGCGGGAACAGTGTTCCTAACGCATTCGGTTGGACTCTCTCACCAGAGTCCGGTCGTCATGCAGAGAGGTTCTAGAGACGCACTTTGATGACCAGACGTGTCCGGTCAACACTGACTGGACCCTCACAACGTCCGGTCCACACACTGTAGATGCTCTGAACCTAGGGTTAGGTACCAGACGCGTCCGGTCCCACGGGGGCCAGCGTCCGGTCACTTACAGTGAACCCTGTCTCTGCTCCAATCACTTCACCCTTGCTCCCAAGTGCCAAACACAATGTGTATCACCTTTGTGCATGTGTGTTAGCATATTTTCAAAGCATTTTCAAGGGTGTTAGCACTCACTAGAATCTAAATGCGTATGCAATGAGTTAGAACATCTAGTGGCACTTTGATAATCGCATATCACAATGAATTTCTCCCCTCTTCATAGTACAACTATCTATCCTAGACCCACTCACACCCACTAGGTGTCTTGAGTGGAAAAACAAAATTCCCTATCAAATATACCTTTGTCTTAAGCCCATTTTATTTTTCTCTTTCTTCTTCTCCAAGTTTAGAGCTTGATCATCATCATATGTCCATCACCACCATGGACTTCATCTTGTTCCAACACTTGTTGTGTACCAACCTATCTCAATTCACACTTAGAGCCAAAGGTTAGTACATAAGGTTTCATCAATTATCCAAAACCAAACTAGGGCTTTCAGCCATCTAGGAGGTGGCAACCTCCAAGAGTAACAAGCATCACTATCTTGCAAATTGATCACCTTGTGCCACACCTTTCAATCAGTCAATGCAACGCACTAGGAATCGCTCTCACACTTAATCGGATGATCTCTATCAAGCGTATGTGAGTAGAGGCCCAAAGTTAAGCACAACACATGGGCAACATATCCCCAATGTGCTCAACCTCAGCCAAGGCCGAGACACCCCTTTATTATAGCCACCAAGGGAAAAAGTGTTGTTGCTCAAAACAGCCTTGCGCAAGCGCAGGACTAGACCCTGCGCAGGACCATCGGACCGGTACAATAAAGGTTCGATGCCCCAGATTGCGCTACTGTACTAGCCATTTGAAGCCGACCGTTGGCGCTCCAACGGCTACTTCACATGCCTCAGCCCGCACTCGGTCTAACCATCATCAAACCATCCTGCTCCCGGGGTCTGACGCCCTCAGAAAACAACACCGAGAGGGTCCAAAGAGCATTTATTCCATCGGACCTAGGCCAACGCAAACCATTGATCCAT